CTCTCCAGCCCCGACTTCTATGTTTAAAAGCAATAAAACTATTATATAGGATTACATATAATGTACTTTGAACATATCACTTATCCATCTTAAATTAAGCCAACCCAGGGCTAGAGAGATGGCTCAGCAGTTAAGAGCACTGGCTGCTCTTACAAGGACCTGGGTTCGATTTCCAGCACTAACATGGTGACTAACAACCGTATATAACTCCACTTCCAGGGGATCTGATGCCCTCTTCTGACCTCCGTGGGCATTGCACAACACAGGTGCAATTATATACATACAGGCAATACACTCATACACATAAAATAAAAATAATAAACATTTTTTAATTAAGACAACCCACCAGCATCTCTGATACACCAGAGTCACAGCACTGAAAATACTAAGGTTAATCTCAATTTAACCACAAAGGAATTAGCCTTGGGGGTGTGTTCTCCTTCGTTACAATCACATCTCTATTTGCTCATGTTCCCCACTAAAAGGGAAAAGGAGGAGCACAGGTCTCATCTCAGAAGGACTGAAGCAAGACGTTAGGATCCCAGGATCCCTAATGCTTAAGACCAGGAGGCCACAGCTGAGCACTGTGAGCTGCTGAGGTCAGTCGTTTGGCCTGGTCTAGACCAACTCTACTGCTCTAGATGTGCGGCGTTTGGCTGACATGAACACTGTCTTAACTTCCCAGCACTATGGTATTTTTCATTCCAGGGAGACAGATGGAACACCCCTATCCCACTTCCTTCCTGGCTTGTTCATCAGTCTAGCCACATTCTGCCACTTAGACTCACAGAATGCCACAGATTTTCAATCGTATCTCTAGCAGGTCTCCCACCAACCCTCCAAGTTGTATACTCCTGCTGCCCTTCTGTGAGAAAAAAGAGGGCAGGGGAGATGTAGAGAGCTGGGGAAACAGCTCAGTGGGAAAAGCACGTGCAGCACAGCCTAAGCGCCTGAGTCCAGATCCCTAGTACACATATGCAGAGCCAGCTGTGTCCACGCAAGTCTAGATCCCCATCTCTGGAGAGGCAGACATTGGCAGATCCCTGGAGCTCACTGGCCAGCCAGCCTAGCAGAACCAGTGAGCCCAAAGTTCAGTGAGAGACCCTGCCTCAAAAACTAAGGTAGAGAGTGATGAAAGAGAACACCGATGTCACCTTCCAGCCTCCACGTGTACACAGACAGACACACACACACACACACACACAGATGCACACAGACACCTCAAAAACTAAGGTAGAGAGTGATGAAAGAGAACACCGATGTCACCTTCCGGCCTCCACGTGTACACAGACAGACACACACACATACACACACACACACAGATGCACACAGACACACAGAGACACACACCACACATACAGACACACACACACAGATGCACACAGACACACACACACACAGACACATGCACACAGACACACACAGAGACACATACCACACACATGCACACACACAGACACACACACACAGATGCACACAGACACACACACACAGAGACACACACCACACACATACACACACACATGCACAACTTGTCTACACACTGACATTCCATGTTTGATTCTCTCCTTTCTATTGGGGTTTCCCTTCAGTCTCTGATCCCTTTTCACTAGTTGCATTCTTTCTCTCTCTGGGATCTCAGTATACCTGACAGCTCCTTTTTTAAAGCTCTTCACTTTTTCTCAAAGCAAAAACCTCAGAGCTTTCAAGTCAAGTTAATAAGAGGTCTGACTGAGCTAATGAAACCTGACATGGAAAATTGGGTGTTAGGAGGAATGAGGAGGTTATTCAAATTCTCCTTAAGTGAGAAGCAGGTACCTTCACCCTCCTCTGTTCACCGCCTTCTGTATTGGCTTATAATGTCGTCTTTCCCTTAGAAGATGATGAGAAAAATAATCTGTTTAATTTTATGGAACAGTGATAAACATCACACTGGACTATGGGCTATTAATTTGGCCATGAAGATGTAATCAAAAGTTTATAAGGGTTCAGCATGATTTTTATGTTCCTCACAATAGATTGTGTTTTATTTAATACGCTGCTTTTTTTTTTCTTACAGGCAAATCAGCTTAAAGGGCTTCAGTGATGTAAGTTGCTATTTTGTCCTGGGAAACAAAAAGGGAATTTTTGTGCATTGATTATCTGCAAGAAGCAAGAGTCTGTTTGCTTCAGGGACTGTACGTCTAGTTCTCACAGTAGCTCGATACAAACCATCAGCCCTGCTTTCAAGGTGAGAAAACTAAAGTAGAGCAAACTAAGATCCAGAGCTCACTGCTGTGTTTGCTCAGTCTTTACTGGTCCAGTGAGGAACAAGCCCACGACACGCAGAGGACCCAAAGTCACCACCGCTGGCTTCTAGTCTGCAGTGTTACATAAGGAAATGTTGGGCACTGTAGTGCATCTCATCAGCTGTCTTTCCCAAGACAGGCCTCGACTCAAGCTCATGCGGCACTTTCAAGTCCCTAAGCCAGGACAGACTCAGTCTCCTTCATCCCCTCAAAGCCTGAGAAAGCCTGGGAGAAGCAGTAGATTACCAGCTGTCCCCACGCTGGCAGAAGATGGAGCCAGTGCCTGAAATCTCAGAGTCCTGTCCTGTTCCCCACAACTGTGACTCTCGGCCTTAAAAATGTGGAGACAGTCCAAGTTAAAATAATTTAGTAAGTTTTAAAAAGAGAAAAGGGAGGGAGGCAATGAAGGAGATGTTAGTATTTCACTTGAATATTTTTGCTTTCTAACAGAAAAAAAGAAAAACTAGAGCGATTTCACTGTAGTTATTTAATTGTATTTGATTTGAAATTCAGAGCCCTCAAGCAAAACGATGGCTAGGTCTCAATGAAATAAAACAACCGTTCTTCCAAAGCAGGCCTTCTAAGCGGTGTTTACAGGTCTGCTTTTTGGGTCTTTGACAAGCCTGAGAATCCCTGCTGCATCTGATTGAGCACTTAGAATTGCCAGGTTCAAAGTCCTGGGGAAGACTCAGTGGGGAGACTTCCAAAACACTCATTAGCATGGATTCATTACCCTTTACACTTGGCTTATGGATTAGCTTTGATTTGCTATCTCTAATATGTATACCCTCCTCCAGAACTCTGGGGGTGCCCAGGTCTGTAAAACAAAGGGGCCTTCAATTGACTAACTTCACAAGACGTAGGAAGCCTCTCTAAGCAAATTGCTGCTAAAGATTTCTTACCCATGAGGCCAGCCTGAATCAGGAGAGCTGTGCTTTGGTCAGCTTAGTCTCAGGGTAACTAGGAACCTGGGTACAAGGTTTCATCTCTTGGACCTCATCTGTAATACAATAGTTCCTAATGTTTCCTGGACTTCAAAGCCCTTTTAAAGTTTGATGAAAGGTTTAATAAGCCTTCCTCATACCCACAAAACGTATGTACATGTTTATGATCAGAACATTTTTACTTCAGTGGGTTCCTAAGCCTCACTAGACTATCATGTCACATTCCCTTTCTTCCAGATTAACAATTTCTTAGGTAAATGATTCTTGCCACTGCCCCCCAGCAGATGCAATGTCTGAAATGAACTTCAGAAAATTATTTGCAGTGAAATGCTGAGCCTACTGTAGAGCTTTCTATTTCTTCGAAGACTGAGGGTAGAGCCAGGTTTGGTGGCGCTCACCTGCAATCCCATCGCTTAGGAGGCTGAGACAGGAGGAATGTCAGTCCAAGGCAGAGCCTGAGACCCTGTCTCAAAGAAAAGTAAGAGAGTGTGATCAGGATACAAGCCAAGTAAAGGCGAAGATCTTTCATAACATTTTGAGAATTCTATCACTTTTAAGCAAGAAAAGAGAAGGGAAATGTCTGGAAAGGGAAAGCGGTGTTTAAAAACAAAAATGCATTTTCTGTTCATTTGGAACATGAAATTTTCACAAGCATCAAGAAAAGTTCATCACAGCCTCATCACTTAAAGATGACCTCTAGTACTGCTTCACCATATTCTTTCAGTCCTGTTTTCCAGCTTGCACACATACACACACACACACACACACACACAGGTACAGTGGAAACAAACCACCAGGCAAGCTGGACATCTTTCAGGACATTCTCTTTACAGTCTATACATAAATACCTATGATGCCTTTAAAATAGTCCAGTAACCAGGCTTGGGGATTTAGCTCACCAGTAGAGTGCTTGCCTAGCAAGCGCAAGGCCCTGGGCTCGGTCCTCAGCTCCAAAAAAAAGACAAAATAAAATAGTCCAATAACCAAGTACAATGCCAAAATTAGCAATTCTTTTCTTACTGTGTTGTGGCATGTGCATGTATGTGCATATATGTGCAGATGTGCCTTCCCATGTGTGCACATTTGAAGGCCACATCTCCCTAGTGAGTCTATAAAATTAACAATTCCTACTTATTTGGGCCTGTGGATTGTTTCCAATGACTTGACACTACAAGTAATGATGAAATGAATGTGCTTGTATGTACAACTTGCTCCAGATCTCATTCAGGTGGTTTCTTAGAAAACATGACTCCCTAAGGCAATTATTGGAATAAAAATACTGTGGGTAAGTTGCTCTCCTGAAGTCAGATCAATTTATAATATCATTAACAGATTATACATTTGATGCATCATAAAAAGGGGAATACAAATTTTTAAATATTTTAGGTATTATTTTTATGTGTATGAGCATATTGCCTGCATGTAGGTAAGTGCACCTGTGTCGTGCAATGCCCGTGGATGTCTGAAGAAGGTGTCATATCTCCTTGGAACTGGAGTTATGGATGGTTGTTAGCCACCATGTGGCTGCTGGGAACTGAACTCAGGTCCTCTGCAACAGCAGCCAGTGCTCTTAAGAGCTGCGCCATCTCTCCAGCCCCGAGGACTACAAATTTTGTTTCTAGTCTCTTAGTTACAGAACTCTTTAACACTCTATACTAGCAAAAAGTTTCCCCCAACTCCACCATTCAAATGCCCGTTATATGCAGTGTCAGTGTAAAGTCTCCAGCTGACAGCATTCACCATTGTCTATTTTTTTAATTCAATACAGGTCCTCGGAGCAGAAAAAGGTAACCGTTTACATTGATTCTCTTACGTTAATGCTATTAGACTTAGTACTCTTTCTAGATCTCTAGGGCTAGCTAGCCATTGTGTGCGAAAGGATTGTTCCGAAGCCTGCGGACCAAGGCGGGGGGTTGTGTGACAGTATCATCAGGATGAACCAAGACTTCATGTGCTACTCCAAAGTCCTCTGGTCTAAACAGAATAATTGAAATCAGGAGTAAGACAGTGATCATTCCTTACACAGGCCATTAACCCAGAAAAGCATGCCTACCTTTGAAATCTTGTTCCTCATTCATTTAAAGTGATAAAATAACAAAGTGTCAGCCCAACCAAGAGCGTTAAGACGTAGCACGGGTCCACAGAGCAGCATTGGATCAGGATTCTGAGACCAGCTACCCATTCACCATGTGATGCAGGTTTGAGTTGCACCTCCTCTGAGGACCTCAGACCAGCTCTGCTCTCTGCATTGAAGATGTTAAACTTAAAAGGAGAGCCTCCCTGGGTCTGTGAATTCCTAGGGCCCTGATAGAGGACTGGGTATTTGTTAGCAATCTAAGTAATGTTAAAAGAATGAAATTCATGCCCCTCACCACAATAAATCTTAGCTTGCTATGAAATCCAGGAATGATTTTATCAGGCTTCACTGGTCACAACAATGTGACATCATTAAGGGGCAGGTGCTCTGGGTGGCTCTTGATGACAAGATGCAATTTTATTAGGTGTGTGATTAATGGACCAGTCAACTGATTTGAATCACATTTCAAGTAATCACAGTCCCTCCAATAAAACGTGTCCAGTCTGTGATCAACCTTAGGCAGAGCACAGAGTACAATAATGCCAGATTAAGAGAGGGCAGTGTGTGTATTCTTCCTTGACTTTATGACTCTCCATTGTAACTGGAAAAGTGCCTTATGAGTCTTGTATTATAGTGTTACTTGGTGCCCTTCATAAGTCTGAATGACTGGTTAAAAATCTATCCATGATAAAAAGTAGGCTATGTAACTGCTAAGTGACTCCAGTTGTGTGCATGGTAGAAATTGGCGATTGTTCTAGTTGCTTTTGAGTTGCTGTGATAAAGCATTCTACTAAGTACAACATGGGAAGGAAAGAGTTTCTTTGCCTTACACTTCAAGCTCACAGTCCATCACTGAGGGAAATCAGGGTAGGAACCTGGAGGTGGGAATCATGGAGGAACACTGCTTACTATCCCCCTCCCAGGTTTATGTTTAGCTAGCTTTCTTATAGAACCCAGGACCAGTGCTGCCCACTGTGGGATGGCCCTCCTACATGAATTAATAGCCAAGACACTCTGCCACAGATATGCCAATAGGTCAATCAGATCTACACAGTTCCTCAACTGAGGCTTTCCCATCCGATGACTGTAGGCTGTGTCAAATTGACAATTAAAGCCAACTAGGACAGATGCTCAATGGGAAAACATTGAGAAAGTGGGTCCCTGGTTGCACCCACCTGGGAACTGATTGCCTACATCAGAATTCTGAAAGTTCACTTGCCCTACCACAGACCAGTCACTTGTATGGGTGGTGGACGTCCCCAGACCTGTGGCCCTCAGAGCAGTCTTTGGTTTAACTCTCTCCTCACCAAGATGTCACTCACAGGTCATCTCTCAGAAGGTCCTCATTAGCACATGTATGGTCAACCCACATCCCAACAGCTGCCTCCTGCCATTTGAATGCAAGAACCACATCTGTCTTCTCTACTGTAACCCTGGATTCTAGCAAAAAAACTGTCTCATAAAAAGTATTCAGCAAATACTTGAATTATATGAATGAATGAATGAATGAATGAATGAATGAATGAATGATGAAGTCAGGAGTCTTTTGAACTAACTTAATTCATCTAGAATAGCCCCTAAAATACCTTCTGATATAATGCTCTGCATTTCTGGGTAGTCAACTATGTGTGTCCTACATTATGAACATTCCATTCAATTTTCATGGCCCCCAGAGGTAGGAAAGCTGGAGAATGTATGGATGTATCATTTCCATCAGACCCATAACAGTAAAGATTACTCAGGTGGAATCATAGTCATCCCATGGGCTTCTGTGTCCTCAAATGTCTTCACTGTGCAACCTGACCAAAGTGCACCATGTTTTCCAGTTTCTCGTCAACAGGCAAAGGCAGAATTTTCTCACCCATTACGAAACCAAAGCACTCAGAAGAGTCCACCTGCCATGTCCAGGTAAGGAAGTATAAACTCCTACCAGTCCCAGCTCAGCAGACAAGCCAGGTGCCAACTTAGGTAATGACTAACAAAACCTCTGAGGAGCAGGAAATCTTTGACCTTTGGTTCTGAAGCCCAGTGATAAGGCTCAAGGAAAACCTGAGTATCTCTATCTACAATGGAATCTAATCATATTCTTTCTGCAACTATAAATGATTGGCTGTTAAAGACATTTGAGGGGTGTAAAACTTTGGATATTAACTAAATGGGGTAGATGTTGATCAATCAAAAGCTGGTTATCTCTGGCTCTTCTCAGTTTATGATGACATCAGAGCTTAAAGGAACTTTTGACTAGTGCTGCGTAGGTGTCCAGGTGTTAAGAAGGCTATGATCTGATGATGTCATCACCTGATCAGGCAATTGTGACATCATCTATCTCACAGAAGAAGTGCAGATGCACAAGCTCTGGCAGGTGATTCCTTGACCGGTGTCAGTGTGATCAGTAGGGATTTTCTCAAAGCCCAGAGCCTCCAGAGTTAGAGCTACGAAGTACTACTATCCAACTCTGGCTAATGACTCTGAGCCATTTCCAACCCTCTCCCGTACTGCTCTCATACCAAGACATGTGCACATCAATTCCTCTGTCCACTTTCCCCTCCTTGCTTCTCTCCCCAACGTGGAAAAGTCCTTATCCATGACAGCCCAAGTTAGAGCCACAGTAAATCCAGGAGAGCTCTTACTCATTCTTCAGATGGAAAAAATGAAGCCCAGAGAGAGAGTCCTTTACCACTGAAGTCAAGTGCAGCTCATTGTGGAGCCCATGTTGCCATAATGACTTGATTATAACAATGCTGTCCCACCAGTCATGGCTGATATGATACCTTGATATATAATAAAACTTACTAAGCGTGTACCACGTTGATGGTGAAATAAAAGAATTGTCGGGGGTTGGAGAGATGGCTCAGTGATTAAGAGCACTGATTGCTCTTGCAGAGGACCCGGGTTCAATTCCCAGCACCCACATGGCAGCTACAAACTGTCCTTAAGTCCAGTTCCAGAGGAATATGAGCCCTCTTCTGACCTCCACAGCATTGCATGACACGGGTGTACTCACATACATGCAGGCAATACATTCATACGCATAAAAAAATTAATAAATAAAATATTTTTTAAAAGAGTATCAGTGGCCAGGCATGGTGGTGGACACCTTTAATCCCAGCACTCGGGAGGCAGAGACAGGCGGATCTCTGTGAATTCAAGGCCATCTTGGTCTACATAGTGAGTTCCGGGACAGCTGGAGCTACAGGGAGACCCTGTCTCAAAAAGACAAAAAAAAAGACCAAAAAAAAAAGAGTATCAGGTCTCGGGGCTGGAGAGATGGTTCAGCGATTAAGAGCACTGGCTGTTCTTGCAGAGGACCCAGATTCCCAGCACCCACATGGCAGCTAACAACTGTCCGAAACTCCAGTTCCAGGGGATTCAATGGCCTCTTCTGTCCTCCTCAGGCATTGCACAATATGGATGCACTTACCTACAGGCAGGCAATACATGCATACACGTAAAATAAAAATAATAATAATAAATAAAATATTTTTTAAAAGAGTATCAGGTCTTATATATTAAAAAAAGAAAAGAATTGTCACAACTGAACTTGGACTGTCCAATGTCATCACTAGTAAATGACGTCACTTGGACAGTGTCAATATCTGAGCTTAAACCAGACCCAGTAACACAACAAGTGCCTAACAAACGTCATCCCTCATTACCATCTCCGGGCTCCGGACCTCAGAGCCATCACAACACGCCCCATACCCTCCTTCTGCCTCGTTTTCATTTCTCATCCTCTTTTGTACCTTCGGTAACTCTTCTCACACTTTGGCCCTGCAGAGACTAGAACCACTGCTGGTAGCTCTTTTGAGGCTATTTGCTATTCACATCCCAATCCGACCCAGTGTATGTTTTCTTTTGTTTTGTTTTATGGAACTTTTGTGTATTTCATATAGAACATCTCAATCAATCTTAATCATCTTTGTACCCCCGTCCTCACCAGCACCCTGAGATACCCCCTCCCACTGAAGCCCATATACTCTGTCATCCCTGTTAAGGCCCCCTGTGTCAAGTCAGTGTCCCCAGACATTGCCCAGTGCAAGTCCATCCACTGAGGTCTACTGAGCCTATCTAGAGTCCCTTGTTTTAGGAAGATCAGCTCTTCTTCACCTAGCAGCAATCAGTCATCGAGAAGAGGGGGTGGAAAGATTCTAAGAGTCAATGTATGTTTTCTTAATAAAACTTCCTAATAGGAAAAAGCACTGTGTTTTAGTAAAAAGATAATGGGATTTAGATTCTGATTTGCACTGACTTTCATTGTTTGAGGTGGTGTGTTGGGCTTACTGAGCTGCTTGCTTGATTTATTAAACAAAGCCTACTTTTAATTGATCTTCACTGGTTACTGCTCCCAATTCTTCTTGGAGTTATTTCTCAAAACAACCCTAAATGTTGATAGTCCCCAGAGTCCAACTGATGTCCATGTTTCTGTCACTGAAGCCCGGGTGGTCTCCTTCTGGATGTCAAATGCCACCCCTATGTTTCCATCTTCTGCCCATCACCTTGCTTGACTCTAGACCTCTGCATCCACATCCAATTACTCGGTGGCCCTTCTCCTTAGAAAGGTCCTAGGCATCACACACTGACCGTGTTGAAATTTGAACCATCCCCACTGTCTTCCACCCACCTGTCGAGGTCCCTTTCCCTCTGTCACCCTTCCCATCCGTCCCTTTTCTAACTCTCAAAATTCTGTCCCCAGAACATGTCTGGAATCTACCCATTTCTCCCGTTTCCCTAGCCCTCAGCATACACCAGTCACCATCAACTCTTACTTGAAGTACTGTAATAACTTTCTACTGACACTGAGAATCTCTACACTGTGAACTTACTTCCTGGGCTCTTGCAGAATGGTGTATAGTTTCTTGTCTCTGAGCCCTCCACATGCTGTTTCAGCTCCCCGAAACACACTTTCCCCGCCCTCTACACCCTTCAGATCCAATGACCCCTCAAGGGTCAGCTTATTTAGCACCTCCCCTAGAAGCCTTTCCTTAGAGCCACAGCAGCTGCGCCTGTGTAAGTGACCATTCACCACGACCAAAACTGATGCTGTGCGTTCCTTCCCTGAGACGTGCATCAGTCCATTAGAAGTCCACCCAGTCATGTCTTCCCTGCATAAACCACACCCCAGGAAACCACATCCCCTTATTTTCTATTTCCCCAAACACAACTGTGTCTAGTAGACATCCATCACATTCATTAAATGAAAGCATCATCATTACTTTTATCTGTCTTGGAGTTTCATTTCTGCCCTATAAATACAGACTTGGAACCTAGACTGTCTTGGGATAAGATTCCTCCTCTTTCAGCATTTCCTAAAAATACTAAAAATTAGAGGAGAGATACTTTGTGATTCATTTTTTAATCTCAGACATTTAACAAAAAACAGCACAACAGCTGAGTCAAGGGGGTCCCAGCTTTGACAATCATGAGCTTGGATATCAGAAGTCTAACCAGCGACAGGGCACCATGTGGTCCTCAGATGACTGGCTGGCATTTCCACATACAAAGCAAGCTGTAAGGCCCCTGGGCTTTTGTGGGGATAACAAAAAGCAGATGCACACCCAGTTGGTTTCATTGATGGTAGAAAAGGGTCAAGTTTCCTTTAATTAGCCCAGAAGCTTTAGTCAATAGCACAATCCTTGGGCTTCACCATGGTCCATGTAATTAGATGTAATTCTATTAGCACCTGGGGTTTTTGTTGATGGCGCTGATCACAATGCAAAGTGAAGCGGAAAGTTAGAGGGAGGTACAACGCGCAGCCATGGACAGGCACCCCTGGTCATGGCACTTTTGTGTTTAGGAGTGCGTGCTGGTATTTCGATTGCCTTCTATTGCATCTTCATAATCCCTGTCCTCTATGGAATTCCTTACAGCACGTCATACTGCTTTCCCACCCAACTCACATTTCAAGACAATGAATTTCTGTATTCTTCTTACTAACGACAGCTGACTTCTGACTATTAAACAGTTTCTGTAGAATACGAGCCGCCAAGCCAAATATTATTAATATCTATGAGTGAGGCTACAAGGGAACCCTAAACTCAGAGCTTGAAAAAGCAAAGACTTGTGCTACGTTCTCAGTGAAAGGATGTGGGGAAACAGTAGGCAATCGGTCTCTTCCTTCCACATCTGATATTTGCCAGTCTTGAGCAAGGAGGAAGAGCCAACCTCCCGCTGCTCCAGAAAACTGACAATTGTTTATTCTTACGAGTTCAGTAAAGTACGAAACGCTTTATACATGTGACTTCAGGATGTTGCGATTAACCTTTCTTGTAAGTAAGATCTCATCTGTCATGGGGATACTAACTTTATTCTAACATTTTCTTTAGCCCTTCCTTTATACCAGGCAAGCATGATGTACAAGACAGAGGTAAGGCACTTTAAGTAAAAGTCATAACATAAACAGGTAAGTCACCGCTCTGTGATAGTCCTACCCTGTGACTTAACATTTGTGAACCTGAACCGCTGAGCTGATGTGTTTAGGTGTAATAATCTCTTTTTCATTGATTAATAGTATTCCCTTGGACTAATGACATCAACTTAATTTTTAAATTTCAATTCATGGAATACAATCCTCTTGTGAACATTATTGTTATGAACATTGCTGTAGATGTTTTCCTAGATGAACAATATGATCTTTATGAAAGAGAAGGACCTTGGTATATGTGTCTGTTTAATTGTCTTAGATGTATTTCCCAGAGTATATGGTATCAATTTGTTGTTAAACTGATAAAATGGATACTACAGCAGATCTGAGCTGGAAGGGCAGACAGATGTGTCCATTAGTCACCCACAGTTCATGAGTCCCATCTTCTCCAACAGTTGTTTTAGAAATTTCAATTTTCCCAACCCATTTGGTATAATATAGATTTATCTCAAGAAAAAATTCTGTAAAATGGAAAAATGAAAATGGCCCCTCTTACCAACTGGGAAGTAACAAATCACAAGGATAACACATCTGTGCAGGAAGTGGCATGTAAACACCACATTGTGCCTGTCAGGGGACTTGATACCATTGGTCTCATCTGCCCCAACTCACTCCGCCTGTTATCCCACTTGATTGCTTTGTGTACCAGAGAAAGGCGATGTTCAGGTCTCTCTGTTGAGTCAAAAAAGTGTCTAGGGCTCATAGAAGAAGACTCCAGAGGGTACGGCAGAGAGGATGAGGGGCCCCAACTCTGCCCCTCCCTCCTTCAATAGGGTCACCAAGGGGAAGTGAATTCTTTGAGCTTTACTATCCCCACCCATAAAACAAATAAAAACTCCCATACTAAAGTGGACACAATACACACAGGCACGCTGTATTAGTTACTTTCCTATTGCTGTGGTAAATTACTATGACCCAAAGCATCTTATAGACAAAAGTTTTGATTTAGGCTCATGGCTCCAGAGGGACGGGAGTCCTTCATGGCAGGGAGGCATGGCAGCCGGTGGCAGGCAAGAGCGGGAGGCTGAGAGCTCACATCTTCAACCACAAACGGGAAACTGAAAGTGGGAATTGGGACAAGGCTACGAAGTCTCAAAGCAACTTACTTCCTCCGATGAGGAGGAGAACGTTCCATCCACACATGCGCACACAACTGTCGACTTGACGCACTCAGTGTCCTTCTTTTCCTCACTCTCCTCTTCCTCCTTCCCCAAATGGCATCAGTGAATTTCAGAACCGCCAGTCTTCCATCATGCCTCTTTTTATATTTGCCAAGGCCAGGTAAATTGCCCCTAATGTATACATTGATAGTAGGAATTCCACAAGATGGGGCTTTATCTTTCATTTTTGAGACAAGGTCTCATGTAGCCAAGGATGGACTTGAACTCGGTATCTAGCCAAGGCTAGCCTTGAACTTCTCATTCTCCTGCCTCTACTCACCAAGTGCTGGGACTGCAGACTGTCCCACATGCCTCGCTTGAGTGGTCAAAGGAAACAGTGATTAACACATGGCCTTCTTCCATCTAGGACTCCAATGTCAACAGTAGGTGTGCCGAAGGTCAGAGCCGTAAGACCTGGAGTGCCCATGAGGAGAGTCCAGGGGTGAACAAGGCGTGAAAGGGCTTGCTGTATGGTTGTGATAGCATGCTGAAGGGATGGAGAAGCAGAATCGAGAGCACACACTGAAAGATCAAATCACACACAAATACCAAGCAAGGAGCCAGTACAGACTGGAACAGAAAAGTTAGGGGAGTGATGATCACCAGCAGGAAGCCAGACCAACCTCCTAGAAAGTAACCACTTCGTTCATGACCTCAAACCAGCCCAGAAGAAGCAAGTTTCCTTAAGGAACCTTAGAGTAGACAGAAGGCATGTTTGGGCCTCCATTATTTCCTCTTTCAGTCAGAGACACCCACCAAACACATTATCTGTACTCAAAATTGGGATAGACCTTAAAGATACAGAGGGAGAGACAGAGCTGCCCTTCTACGAAGCTGGGTTTCCTCTACCTTCCGTGCCCTCCATCCACTTCCTAAGTGGATACTCACTCTGCTGAATAGAAGTTCATCTCCAGGTCATCAGACTTGCAATGTGAGATGCAGAAAACACATAGTGTGCACTCTAGATTCTCAGTCTAGCAAAGACCCTGCAGTGCAAGGTCTACCCTAAATGCCTCAAGGGTGGGCATTCACACGGGACAGTAAGGATACATCTCTGTAGATGCAGATACCAGTATTCTTACCTTACAGATTGGAAAAGAATCCTGGGAAAGTTGAGTTATTCTGCGTAGTTCAGGCACAGATTAAACCCAATGGGCTTGATTCTCTGATCTATTAATTCAGGGTGAACTATGAAGAGTCCAAGGAGACAGATCACAGAGCAATGAATATACCTATATAGAGATAAACATATTGGCATATTAGCGGTCTTCAGAACTACTTAATTATACTCCAAGATACTAACGAACTTGTTCTTTAAGAGGATGATTTTTTTCTTTTGTTGTCTTTTTTTCACTGTTTTCTTTTAAAACACGTGTGAACTTTCTCTTGTAAAATCAAGTTTTAAATTCTATGTAAGAGTAAGTTAAAATCTTCTAATAGGTTCTGATGCAACGCCTGATTTAGAATGTTTTAGAATACATGACAACAGAAAAATCTATAGAGATTTCTTGGGCAATATTCACAACACTCAGAAATTAGCGTCTGTGAGCTGATCAGCACGGGTCAGAGTTTATAGTGAGACATTAGCTACGTAAGAATTTTTAAGTATTAGAAATTGTTGCTAGTGATATGATTTCATAAGTCATGCCCCTTTGATCAGGCTGCCTTGCCTCACGGGGTGTCGCATACCCCCCCATCAACTCTTCCATTGACCTTCTGACTCTTCCTTTCTCCCGCCCTTCCTGTTCCAAGCAGGACAGTCCTCCAACTGCACGGCTCATGTAGGAAGGACCTTCCAAGCTTAGTTGCTTTCCTTCTGTTGGAGCAAAAGTAGTGACGACTCACGTTAAATACGTGCCTGGAATTTCTCACTCACTCGTTCATCTGTTCATTCATCCAACAAGATCCAAGGAAGCACGCAGAAGAAAACTGTGTGGCAAAGTTGTTTTGTTTTGTTTAACTAGTTCTCTGAACAGACTCCAAATGTACAAATGCTTCCAAATGCTCTTTTTAAAAATAAGATTTTTTTAAATATTCAAGCAAAGACATACAGGGTTGAAAAATAATAAATCAGTTGCCATAATAACCATGAAAAATTCATAATCACTGAATTCTGTTAGGCCCAAAGCACAAACCAATAGGAAATGCTGATCGTGGCTGTTTTCCTCCCTCAAATACGTTCTGACTGTTTCATGAAAAGATAGTTACTGTCATTTAAACAGCCTCTGTGCATCAGTACAATTTATGGAAGTCTCTAAGTCAGTTTTCCTTTTTGCTGATGCATCCTATTGGCTTTCTTTTGGCATTTCTGTGGTGCCCTAATCTCCATCCTCCCAGGGGTGATCACACTGTGCCATTAAACCTTAGATATGGGATTAGCACAGCCCTAGGGGTAAAGCAGCTCCCATCTGATTTTTACATACTAAGTTTGGACCTTTGATATTTGCTGTGACTGCAGACACTGGGGTGTTTTGTATTATTTTGTGCCTCTCAGCTTCTCAACTTCTTTAATGACTTTGTAGATTTCTTTCTGCCATTCTGTTGGATTTATATCTTATTTATTCCCCATTTTTCTCATTTTTGGAATTCATATGTTTCAAAATTGATCTACTATTTGCTTTAATATTTTAAGTGAGTACTTTAAGAATCTGAAGAACATTCTCATTCCAAATGAAACAAAACATTTAAATGAGGGGCTGGAGAGATGGCTCAGCAGTTAAGAACACTAGCTGTTCTTGCAGAAGACCCAAGTTCAAATCCCAGCACCCACATGGTAGCGAACAGCTGTCTGTAACTCCAGTTCCAGGGGATCCGACAGCCTCTTCTGTCCTCCGTGGGCATTGCATGACATGGGTGCACTTACCTACATGCAGGCATAACACTCATACACGTAAAATAAAAATAATAAACAAAATATTTAAAAAGGGAGCTGGAGAGATGGCTCAGCTGTTAAGAGCACTGACTGCTCTTGCAGAGGACCCGGGCTCGATTCCCAGCACCCCACATGTAGTCCCACATGGCGACTACAAACTGTCATTAACTCAAGTTCCAGGGGAATCCAAAGCCCTCTTCTGACCTCTGTGGCATTGCATGACACACATGCACTCACATACATGCAGGCAATACACTCATACACATAAAATGAAAATAATAAATAAAATATTTTTAAAAACACTTAAATGTTTTAGTCATATAGATTCTGTACCATTTCAAAGTGAAGTTTTATTATTTATCAATTAGAATGTTATACACAAGGACATCTGTAGCTTTCTTCTTACTTTTAGCGATAGTCAAGATAGTGGAGGAAATTAACTCATTATGATTATTTTAAGTTACATTCTAAGTGATATGTTTTCTACACAGGCCTTGTGGCGCAAACCTACAGTTGCAGCTACTTGGCAGAATCACGAGTTCAAGGCCAATCTGGGAGCTCAAGCTCAACCTGGGAAACTTAATGAGACTGTTTCAAAATACAAAAAGAAAGAGAGAGTGCTGGTACTGAGTGGTAGAGCACTTGCAATCATATACACAAGGCCCTGGGTTCAATTCCCAAGGAAGGAATTTAAAACACCATTATTGGTCTCATAAAAACCACAATCACTGATACAATTTTTAAAGTTTTTATTGAATTTTGGTGAGTTTCACACAATATATTTTGATCATATTTAGACCCCCACACCTATCTGTACCCCTTGCTATCCCTGACCAATTTCATGTACTATTTAAGTCCTGTTGAGTCAAATTTGTATCTTCAAATGCCCTTCCATGTGGGTCCATCCACTG